GCTCCTGCCCGGGCACTGCGCATGCGCGGCGGTTCTGGCGCAGTCCTTGCCAGTCTGTCCGCGCGCTGTGAGTGTCCCGAGGCGGCTTCGCGTGGACTTGGCAGTGGGCGGGGCTAGGGCGGGGTCTGGGCAGACTCAGGTCTGGTCGGGAGAGGGGCGCCAGGTAAACTCTGCAACACCGAGAGCTAAGCCCCAGCGCTGAGGGCCTGCGGGGGGGGAGGGTTAAAGCAGCTTCCCCAGGGGGATGAAGAGCGAGTCAGAGAGACGGGCAAGGGACCTTTTTATTTGCTTCAACATTTATTTTAATCCCTTATTCACCTGGGAGGCGCTGAGCAGGCTCAGGAGGGCGGCAGACGCCCCTGCACTTTGCCTGGCCCACTCGAGTGTATGTTTGTGCTGCTGCATTTTAAAGGTGTTTAAAATGTAAAAAGATTGCTAAAGACAGGACAGAGTCTCATAACATTTTTCTTGTCTTATTCCTGGGACTCTCAGAATTGCTCTCCCGTCTCTGCAACCCATTTTCATTGTTTTCCTCTGTGCAAATGCAATGCCTTGTACTGTCACTACTCTGTGCAATGCAACTCAAAGTCCTGCTACTTCGAAACAAATGTAAGTAAAAATCCAAGTAATCTTTTGTAAAACTACTTAGTGAAAGTACAAAAGTATTCTATCTTAATTGTACTTAAGTATGCAAAAGTAAAAATTAGTTGTCCTAGGGAACCATATGCTTAACCACCCGAGTTCTTGCAGGTCACCATTAACACACACACACGCTATATAAACACTTATAATATAATTCTATATTATATGTACACCTATACTATACATTTTTCAATGATGGAATTTAACGATAGTCACTGCCTTCATTTATAAAGATGAAGAGGGACCAAATTAAATACAAGTTAGATTACAGAAATGTATTTATTTTGTCCACATTCATGGTGTGCATTTTTCCATTGTAATGATTCATGTCCAAAACGTTTGTTCAACCATAGGAGCATTTTTTTTTTCAAATTGACCAATCCTTGCTTGTCTGTGGAAAAAATGAGTCCATCACATGGAAGAATCTCTTACAGGCAGCTGATGGAGACAGAGGTCTGTTGGCCCTGGTGCACAGCTCCCTAATTCTAGAAAAAGAGTGTAGCAGCTCCATGGTCTCTTCTGAAGATGCCAAATACCCATCAAGCTTCTTTGTAGTTTCATTTGTCTAAAATGACATAGTCTCTTACCTTTTCTAATCCCAGTTTCATGCTTGTTCCAAGTGGTCCTAACATTTGGCATCAAGAGGTCAGTTGCTATTAGCTCCAGGTCCTCAATTATTTCACCAAAACATTTCTGAATGGTGCACTGAAGTTCATCTACCAGTGGCCTCGAGAGCATCTTGTTCCTTTGCAGTTTTGAAACCATCAAGTATAATTGAAACTTAAAAAACAACAAATGGTCTGGTAGCACTTTATAGACAACAAAACATATAGATGGTGGTATGAGCTTTCGTGGGCACAGCCCACTACTTCAGATGACCGGAGTTTTGAGTTTAGGCTGTACAGACGTATTTATTTTGGCTGTGCACAGCCTAAACTAAAAATTCCAGTCACCTGAAGAAGTGGGCTGTGCCCACGAAAGCTCGTGATACCACATATATGTTTTGTTAATCTATAAAGTGCTACCAGACTGTTAGTGTGTACAGGATAAACTGAAAAAAAAATCTCTGCTACCCCCTGAAGCTGGTATAATTTATGCAGCTGCACTCCATTCCATTAGTGTACTTATCTGTGCTTGGATAATATTTAGTGCTTTCACCAATGGACTCATAACCATGGCATATTCTGCCAATAAAACCAGCTCTGCTAGATTCAGCCTTTTGAACAGCCAATACATAATGTTAATAAAAATACAGAATGATCAGCGGGATTGTTTTTTTTAACAAAAAGAAAAGCATAAAGCGAAGAACTGTTTCTTGCATACTAATTTGATGTTCTGGGAACACATTTCTCATGGACCTTTCTTGTTCATTCAGTATGTACCGAATTCTCTCCCCAGCCATGAACACAGAGTTCCATCCTTTCTGGCTTGGCCGAATGAACTGTGGCTTGCATTCTGCTTCCACCATTTTTGCTCCAATTGCTGAGTGTTCAATTTTAATTTA